TGCCCCGCTGGCAGGAGAGCCGCGTCCTTGGTACAGCACCCACGAGAGGTCAAGGCAGAGCTCCCAGGGACCGGGACAGCCTGGACAGGGCTTCAGCACCCGTTCCATAAAAAGCCAGGTATAATCTGTCTGTCTCTCAGCTGTGTATCTGAAAGGGGCAGTCAGCTGGGGATCAAAAAGCAAATATCCCTGATTATACCTGATATTTAAGGTTTTGGAAAGAGAACAAGACTGCTTTTCTGCTCAGGGTATTTTTTCTTCCTCAGCAAGCTCTTTTGCAAGGTCATCTAACAGAGGGTGCTGGACCGAGGGGATATTAAGCCACAGACTGGTTTGGGTGGGGGGGACCTTAAAGCTGTCCCCGCCCCACCCCCTGCCCCCGGCACCTTCCATAGCCCAGGGTGCTCCAAGCCTCATCCAGCCTGGCCTTGGACACTCCCAGGGATGGGGCATCCACAGCTTCTCTGGGAACCTGTCCCAGTGCTCCCACCCTCTGCGGGAAGAATTCCTTCCTGATGGCCCATCTCCACCTCTCTCTTCCCGTTTAAACCCGTCACCCCATGCCCTGTCACTCCCTGCCCTTGGAAAAAGCCCCCCCAGGCACTGGAAGGGGCTCTGAGGTCTCCCCAAACACCCCACCTCTCCCAGCTTGTCCCCACGCAGGTCACGCAGTCACTGTGCCCTAACACAGGGCACCCCGGGGGCCGCGGGCTGGGTGGCAGATGCTGTGCCACAAAGGGCCCTGGTGAACAGTCTCCTTCCCCAGGACCACCCTGCGTCACCTCCCCCTCCCGGGTCCACCGACAAAACAGCAGGGGGGAAGCTCTGTTCCCTTCATCTTACTTTTCTTCCTTTGATAGTTGTGCCTCTTCCAAAAGCGCATGTTGATCTTCGGCCACGACTCCGTCTTCTCAATCACAGTCGCCTCCACACGGACGAGATCTTTCCTTCAAAATAAATTTTAGAAGCATCACTTTTTAATTATCCACACTCTGCTCCGATCAGCAAGCAGGTTTCTGGTGAAGAGCAACACGCGGACAACACATCCTGCCGTACAGACCCCAGACCCACGGGGACCACAGAAGGAAGCCACCTCGGAAGGAGGGAAACGTGTCGGGTTGTCGGCCTCGCGGTGCAAAGCCAAAAGCCTCGGGGTGCTGCACGTGGGGCAGCCGGGCGATGTGACAGTTTGCAGGGCAGCAGCTCTGTCGCGTGAGCGATGAGATCAGAGACAGCCACGCAGGCAGCAGTAGGACAAACCTGCCAGAACTCGCTGCATTACACTACGAGAAGTTCCCGGGCACATTCCCATGACCTGTGTCCCCTCCTTTGCTTACAGTACTCCTTAGACCCCTCCCATGGCCCCTTCTCCTCTGCTGTGCTGGTAACACAGAAGTCCTTCCTCCTGAAAAGCATCACAGGGAGCCGGAAGGAGGTCTTCCCACCTTGCCCACCCGAGTAAGTCCTGGCAAAGGCTCGAAGAAAAGGGCTTCGGCCTGGTGTTTCCAGCAGGAAGCACAGCTAATTGGCTGCTGGAGCAAGTCACCTCTCCTCCCACACGCTGCTCGTCTGCCTCCCACTCGGTCTGTCCTGCTTGTTTGCCCCAGATTGGGAGAGGGGACTCGCTGGGGGTTCCACGCACTGCTCCCCACCCTGCAGCTGGGGGGGCTCAGGCTGAGCGGCGAGACCACCCAGGGACTCAAATTATTTCTCGATCTCATTTCTACATGTGGCCGTTCTCAAGTAAACATCCTCCCTCCCCGAGGATGGAGATGGAGAGAAGAATACGGCTTGTACCTCCTGCACAGGCGAGTAACACCACAGTCACTCGTTCCACACTACCTCACGGACACACGCAAACACTCCTGCGCCCAGGGATTCCGCA